ATCATAAAGAGCTTTCATGTCATTAAACCCTTTTATATTAACTGTTAAAGGACACAGTATTCAGCTGTAAACCAAATTCCTATTGTATTGGACATGGGTTGTTTCTAATTTTTCACCATTATAATCAAAGCTCATTATAATCAAAGCTCATAGCTAAATTATTGGGCACATCCACAAATATTCCTCCTATAATTTTCCATTTTTACTTATTTACCTTCCAAAACATACATTATCATTTCGGGAACTGAAATCATAATGCACCGTTGTATATTCAGCTTTTTATCATTTCTGTAGGGTCAACTATAATTTTTAACAGCTAAAGTCCATCCGGATGTACACTAAATTTACTACTCTCTATTATGATACATTTAGGTTATTGTTTTCAGCTTTCCTATTATAATGCTACAGTAAATGTCCTTTTGCTTTCAGCTTTCTATTTAATTATTTCCTTAGGATAAATTCTTAAAAATAGAATCTGTCTTCTTTGTGACTTGCCACATACTGCAGCACTGCTTTCTCAAAAAGTTAACAATGTTAAATGCCATGAACAGGTGTAGCAGTTTCACGGCAAATGGGATACCTTAAAAAAAAAAGAAGAAGAAGAAGAAGAAGAAGAAGAAATCACGATTTAAAAAGATACAAAAGTATGAAATTAAAGCATGCAAAATCTAAACTCCACCCCAGAAACAGTTGGGGATGGGGTAAGGTGGGTATTAGAATCATATCTTTTCCTATTTGGGTCCCAGCTATTAAACACCTCTCTCCCTGTCCCCAAAGAGGCCCAATAGAGAATGCAGTGGTGAAAACTAAGTCATATTGTATAAAGCACCTAGAAAGTGTCCACAAAGCAGCAAGTACCTCAAGAAGTATTTCTATCACCTACTTCTGATGATGACCACCAACATCATTTGAAAATACGTGTAGAAAGCTCTTTTGAGTAATAAATTCACTGCCCCCTAACTACTGGGCCTCTGAAAAGAGAACAAAGCACAAAGAGCAGCAGCAAAGATTTCCATCTACTTAAATGTCCTGAAAACTAACCCTGATGAAGAACTTACAGAGAAAATACGTGTTGCTGGATTAGAACGACTGTGGCTACTGGGCATGATACAGTTGCAGAAACATTTAGATATAGGACCAAACACTACATCACACCTGAAATCTAAATAAATGTTCCCTCAATTTTCAGTAAAATGGTCAACTTTTTAAGTAGAAACTGCGGGGAAAATCTGGTATAAATTTACTACACTGTGATGGCTGTCTGCATGGCCAGCCTGAAAACTGTAAAATTAACTGACATCCTACGGTTCTTTTCCAGGAGTTTCTTAGGACATTTTATTTAATAACAAGGGAGTTGGACAAAGCCGTAGTATAAATCTAGCCAGTGACTCCCTACCAGAGTCGCTAAATTTAACAAGTACAATACACAACTCACCGTTAAATTTGAATTTCAGATGAAGAATGGTTTTGTTTTCAAGTACCATGCAATGGATACTAAAAAACGATTCGTTGTCTATGTGAAATTTTAATTCAACTGGGTGCCCTGTATTTTATCTGGCAACCCTACCCACTACACCTACCTCAACTTCGATTGAAGTCAGCAAAGTGCCTCCCAGGCCTCTCTAACCTCGACTTCTCTGTTAAAAACACAAAGAAAGGTGTCAGCGTGCAATAAGACTTTCTCAAAGTGGAAGATAAAGTACCCAATACGAAATCCATAAATTTGTTTCATTTTTAAAAAGTGATGCTATAAATGGGTCCGGGGAGCTAAGGCAGCAAAACTAGAAAAGCGGTATACAGGAACCTGACTACGAAAGCGGTGGGGTTCGGACCAGTAGAGGAACTTCCCAGCTAAGAGTTTTGACAAAGAAACATCGCTCAAGGGGCCCCACTTGCCCATTCTGAATTAATGGCCTCGCGGGGCCGAGAGGAGGAGCGCCCGACAAAGCGCCTCCTCCTCCAACCAACCACGACTTCAGGGCTTTGGCATAATAGACCCCACACCCTCGGGCCCAGGGCGGCTCGGAGGCCCGCAACTTACTGACACGTATAAGATTCAGAGATGAGTCGCACAAAGAAACGGGCGGAAAAGAAAACGGGCGACTAGTTAAAGCCCGAGGCGAGTTCAGAGGGCCGGGCCCCGGCGGGTGGGCTGAGGAGGCCGTGTGGCGGCGGAGACAAGGCCTCAAGGGGCCTTGGAACCGCCATTCACCCTCCAAACCTAGCCTCGCCCTAGCCTCTTCCCTCACCGATTGTCGCAAAAATCCCACGCCCCTCCCAAACAAGAAGCAAGCCGTCCCAAAACTCACCCTCTACGGACTGCTCTCCTTAGAGTAACGGCGACGCTACACGGCCTCTACCGTCCCGAGAAAAGAGCGCGCGACCGCCGGAAACGAGACGACGGAGCTCGGTGCCTCCCAAGGGGTACGAAGTGACGTTCTCGATTGGTTAGCTGAACTGCCAATCAAGGTTTATCTCCAGAGGCGGAATCATTTTTCCGCCATTTCTTCGATTCTATTGGCTACCGAATGCCAAAGGCTTGAGTTCGTGTGAACGACAGATGGGGACAAAGAGCGAGGGTTTTGTACCTAATGCGCATGTACAAGCGGCGTTGCGCGTGAGACGGAAAAGGAAGGGGGGAGGGGGAGAAAGGGTGGGGGATGCGGGTCGGAAACAGAGACTTAAACGGACTAACGGAAAGACTGAAAGACCAAGTGGTGGGAGGGGGAAAGGAGAGGAGAAAAAGGGAGAGAGAGGAAAGTGGAAAGAGGGAGAGGAAGGGGAGAAAATGCGCGCGTAGGCGTGTTCTGAGAATTCCTGCACTGCGCCTGTGCAAGAAGCAAGAGTATCAATGTCATTGTATTCAACGTAGTAGATCTGGCCTTTTCCTACTGAAAAAATGCCCCGCCATGTTTCTTTTTTCACACTTCCTCGTTACGGCTTACACCCTGACACCTGGTACTTAATCAGCTTTCTAGTTGCTTCTCCTGCTGCTGGGGATACCCGGGAAGCGCAACTGAAATAGTCACCCCTATGGTCATGGTTACAGAAAGGGGCGGGGAAAGGGAGGGGGGTTGACACTTCAGTCTCAGTGTGATTGCACAAAAATGTAACCAGCACATTCATTTCCATGGTAACTAGGAAACCTAGCAGTCCAAACATCATTATTATTCCTATGATTTACAGAGAGATTCAACAGGTGTCATCATTGCAGCGGATATATTATTGTAGGCCTCCAGATCAGACTGATTCTGTGTTCCATAGGAGGCCTATCAGGTAATCACCTTAATTGTTTCAGTAATGCCTAACTGGCCCCTGTGGTTAACCAGGGAGTATAAAGCTCAACTGATAGGTGTTTGTAGTTAATTCCCACTAATTAATTCACACTAAGGGTTCCACAGTATCACACTGGGACCACCTTATGTGGGGACACAATGATCTGCACTTGGGCTGTCCAATAGAACTTTATGCAATGGTGGAAATGTTCTATGTCTATTCTATTGCATACAGTAGCCACTAACCATATGTGGCCATTGAGGACTTGAAACATGACTAATGTGACTGAGGAACTCAGTTTTTAATTCCATTCCATTCTAATTAGATAAAATTTAAATAACCGTATATGGCTAGTGGATACCATATTGGGAAGCTACCATATTGGACATATGTAGGCCAATGGTTCCCAAACCTTCTGAGAAAAATTACATCTTTATTATGAAAAAAAAAATGAAAACCTAATCATGGGGGGGAAATCAAACAATACGTAATAATATAAAATTCTCCCCCTATAGGTATCCCCTATACCCACTCTGTAGAGGTAGTAATTATGACCACTTTCTTGCATTTCTATTTTTGATGTTTGTACTATCCCAGTAAAGCAGAAATGTTTATAAGTTTTTATATATGTAGCATTAAGCTAAGCATGCTTTTCTGAGCCTCAACTTTCTCACTTAAAAAAAATACTTTTGTAGCTCGGGCGATCTACCTCACGTCTGTAATCCTAGCACTCTGGGAGGCTGAGACGCGAGGATCACTTGAGGTCAGGAGTTCTAGACCAGCCTGAGCAAGAAGAAGATCCCTTTTATACGAAAAATAGAAAAATTAGCCAGGCATCATGGTGCACGACTGTAGTCCAAGCTACTCAGGAGGCTGAGGCAGGAGGATCACTTGAGCCCAGGAGTTGGAGGTTGCAGGGAGCTATGATGACGCCACTGCACTCTACCCAGGGTGACAGAGCAAGACTCTGTCTCAAAAAAAAAAAAAAAAGGTAAAATGCCTTTGCTATCTTTCCATATGAATGTATATAAAGATCTATGAGGACCCCTTTTTAATATCAAATTTTTATAGACTCACACATGATGGTTTTAGTATCTGTCGAGTGAAAAAATATATAATTATAAAAAATACTATGGATTCAATGACATTCTAATGAATGTATACTTTGTTAATCACAACAGATGTTTATTATATTTATTTTTTTTTTTTGAGACAGAGTCTCACTGTGTTGCCTGGGCTAGAGTGCCGTGGCATCATCATAGCTCACAGCAACCTCAAACTCCTGGGCTCAAGCGATCCTCCTGCCTCAGCCTCCCGAGTAGCTGGGACTACAGGCATGCGCCACCATGCCCGGCTAATTTTTTTTCTATATGTTTTTAGTTGTCCTGCTAATTTCTTTCTATTTTTAGTAGAGACGGGGTCTCGCTCTTGCTCAGGCTGGTCTCGAACTCCTGAGCTCAAACAATCCGCCCACCTCGGCCTCCCAGAGTGCTAGGATTACAGGCGTGAGCCACCACGCCCGGCCTGAAAAGGTTAACTCTAAAAGAGGCATTAAGCTGCAGACTCTTTGGCAGTTACTTGATTAGGATGAGGTTCACTCTGTAGAACCAACTCTGGAACCACATGGGTTTTTTTGTTGCTGTTGTTTTGTTTGTTTGAGAGAGAGTCTCACTCTGTCGCCCTGGGTACATTGCAGTGGTGTCATCGTAGCACACTGGAACCTCAAACTCCTGGGCTGAAGCGATCCTCCTGCCTCAGCCTCCCAAGTAGCTGGGACTACAGGTGCACACCAGGACGCCCGGCTAATTTTTCTATTTTTTGTAGAGAAGGGATCTTGCTGTTGCTCATGCTGGTCTGGAACTCCTGAGTTCAAGTGATCCTTCCTTCTGTGCCTCCCATTGCGCTAAGGATTACTCACCTGAGCCACCTTGCCTGCTCCCACCTGGATTCTTATCTAGTATTTTTTGTTTGTTTGTTCATTTTAGCATTCTAAAGTACCCTGGAATAAACAAAAGGAAATGGATACTTAAAGAGACTTTGGAGGCCAGGCGTGGTGGCTCAGGCCTGTAATCCTAGCACTCTGGGAGGCCGAGGAGGCGGGAGGATTGCTTGAGCTCAGGAGTTCCGGACTAGCCTGAGCAAGAGCGAGACCAGGAGACATTGGGAAAATGCTAGACTGTAAACTTCTCAACAGTAGGGGCCCGGTGTTACTCATCTCTATCTCCAGTATCTAGCATAGTCCCTAGTGGTGGCCCTGTTCCTATGTTAGGAACAGGGCCCCACAGCAGGACGTAAGTGATGTGCAGGCAAGAGAAGCTTCATGTGTATTTACAGCTGCTCCCCCATTGCTTGCCATCCCCACCCACCCCCACCATGTCCGTGGAAAAATTGTCTTCCATGAAAAGGGTCCCTGGTGCCAAAAGGGTTGGGAACCACTGAGTGGATACACAGGAAATATCAGTAAAGAAAAAGTGAGTGGTGCAGTGTGTAAGATGCTGCCTTAAAGACTGTAAGTGGATGAGACTTGCATTCAACGTACTTAAGAGGTTCTACAGGGCAATTGGTAAGAAAAAGAAATAACAGTTATCTACTAATAGAATGTAAAGAAAGAAGTAAAACTATATCTATTTGCAGATGATATGATTTTGTACCTAGAAAATCCCAAGGAATCCACTAAAAAAAACCTAATAGAACTAATAGATGAGTTCAGCAAGGTTGTAGGATATACAAAAGTCAATTATATTTCTATACATTTGCAATGAACAATTTGAAAATGAAATTAAGGAAATAATTCCATTTATAATAGCATGAAAAAGAATAAAATGCTTAGGAGTAAATTTAACAACAGAAGTGTAAAACTTTTATACTCTGAAAACTAGAAAATATTGTTAAAAGAAATTAAAGAAGATCTAAATAAATGGAAAAACATCCCATACTTGTGGATCAGAAGACTTAATGTTGCAAAAATGGCAATATTCCCCAAATTAACCTATGGATTCAACACAATTCCTGTCAGAATCCAACTAAATTCTTTGTAGAAATTGACAAGCTGATTCTAAAATTCATATGGAATTGCAATCGACCCAGATTAGCCAAAACAGCTTTGGAAAAAAAAAAAGAACAAAGTTGGAGGATTCACATTTTCTTTTTTTTTCGATACAGGGTCTCGCTCTGTTGCCCGGGCTAGAGTGCCGTGGCTTCAGCGCAGCTCACAGCAACCTCAAACTCCTGGGCTCAAGTGATCCTCCTGCCTCAGCCTCTCAAGTAGCTGGGACTACAAGCATTCGTCACCATGCCCAGCTAATTTTTCTATATATTTTTAGTTGTCCAGCTAATTCTTTCTATTTTTAGTAGAGACAAGGTCTTGCTCTTGCTCAGGCTGGTCTCGAACTGCTGAGCTCCAACGATCCTCCCTCCTCGGCCTCCCAAAGTGCTAGCATTACAGGCGTGAGCCACCACGCCCAGCCAACACTTCCTAATTTCAAAACTTACTACAACAGTAACCAAAACAGTATGATACTGGCATAAATATAAATATAGACATCAATGGAGTAGAATTGAGAGGTCAGAAATAAACTGGTGTGCCTACACTCATTTGTTGAAAAGCTAATGGTGCTGGGACAACTGGATCTACATGGAAAAGAAGAAAGTTGGACCCTTAATGTATAAAAATTAACTCAAAAGGAATCAAAGACCTAAATGTAAGAGCTAAAACAATAAAACTCTTAGAAGAAAATATAGAGAATAAATCTTCATGACCTTGAATTTGGCAGTGGATTCTTAGATATGACACCAAAAGCAGAGGCAACAAAAGAAAAAATAGATAACTCAGACTCCATCAAAATTAAAACCTTTGGGCCGGGTGTGGTGGCTCACGCCTGTAATCCTAGCACTCTGGGAGGCCGAGGCGGGCGGATTGTTTGAACTCAGGAGTTTGAGACCAGTGTGAGCAAGAACGAGACCCCGTCTCTACTAAAAATAGAAAGAAATTAATCGGACAACTAAAAATATATAGAAAAAATAAAAATTAGCCGGGCATGGTGGCGCATGCCTGTAATCCCAGCTACTCCGGAGGCTGAGGCAGGAGGATCGCTTGAGCCCAGGAGTGTGAGATTGCTGTGAGCTAGGCTGACGCCACAGCGCTCACTCTAGCCAGGGCAACAGAGTGAGACTC